CCTGTGACTCGACCGAACGTAAGATGTAGAGGGACCATTTTCTACAGAAGCAATAATAATTAATTATTGCATCTTCCAGATGCTCAGCTTGTGTGGATAAGAAATGTAGAAACTCCAGCCGTCCACGTGTCGAATTCCCATTCTATGACCTTTGACGGGAACAAAAGCGGGATCCAAGTCAACCGTCCAAATGGTCGGACATGACGGAGGCTTCAACGATTCCCAAAATCTGACCCGGAGACCCAAATCATATTACTAGCCGGCCACCAGGCATCTTCAACCAGGTATTCTTTTTACCACCTTTAAATTATTTTCCTTTTGTTCTCCAGATTTAGAGATGAAAAGTATTCCGGATTGTGATAGTTAGTAGCATTGCCAGAATACCTAAAAACAATTGTATATTAACCGTGTGATCAGAATTATGAAGAATTTGAATTAAATAAAATGATTAACGATCACGTGCAACAACAAAAATTCTTTTTAGATAGGAAGAACAATATACTGGTCGTGCTTGTAGACTCAAAAACTGTTTAGTTGCGCAGCAAACGTCTCCTCTAAACTTGGAATATTTACAATGAAGCTTATTTAATTTGTTAAGTATTATTAATTAGCATATGGCTTTAGAGACAATTCAGTTATTTTTATAAATTAAAATAATTTAAAAATAAAAAAATGTTATCACATGCAACGCTTTTAAAAGGTAAAAAACAGTGGACCACCATGTTACCGCATGGTAAAACAACAAAATTACCTTGCAGCCCAAATATCTTAGGCTTTAGTCTAAGGAGTTTTTTTTTTTTTTAATATCACTATGTTTTTTTTATATAATTAGCATGTGGATTAAGAGGTAATTTAATTATTTTTATAAATTAAAATAATTTAAAAATAAAAAATTATTAACACGTGTAGTGCTTTTAGAAAATTAAAAATAACTAATCACTATATTATCCAAATACAAAAATGAAAACACAACCAATAAGACGGCTCATGTATGGGAATTAGAGCCAGATCGATAGCGATAAAGATTTTGTTTCTTTTTTTTTTTCACTCATAATCCAATTAAAGTTCCAATTTATCTCGTTAGTTTTTTTTTTATTTTGATTGTGGTCTTTATTTTTTATTTATCTTTTTATTTTTTTTATTTTTTTATGATTATTGTTTTTTATTTTATTTCATTCTATTTTATTTTTATAATAAGCTTAGTTCTTTTTTTTATTGCTATTTTTTTAATATCCTTCTCTTAATTAAATTTATTTTTTTAATTTCATGTTTCATCATTTAATATTTATGTCAAATTTATTTTTTTTCTTTTTTAATTTTTTTCTATAGCTCTGTTTTTTAAAAAAAATTTAATTTTCATCCTTCAACATTAAATTAGTTTTCTTATTTTTTTTATATGTGGTGATCATAGTTTCATGATCTGGATCACAAATATAAAATGTTAACTTAAATTGATATTAATTTTTTTGTTTTACTGATTTAATTTTTAATTTTTATTATTTGACATTGTGTTTATTTAATATTAAGCTTCTTTATTTTTCCCGGTTGGTTTTCTAATGTGATGACCCAATCTCATTATTTGGGTTGTATGTGTATTGTGTTAACTCAAGATATTTGCATCTTTTAATTTTATTTTTTAACATTTGATTAGTTGAAAATTACACTTCATGAATTTCTTTGATTCATAGTTATTAAACTCAATCCGGAAGTTGACTTGGCCAAGGGGCCGAGTCCCAGGTTTCATTGGTCAATCCATGTCAACTCAGGTCAACCCGGATTAACCCGGAAAATTAAATAAAAAATTAAAATTTTAATATTTTATATGAAAAAATTTAAAAAAAATCCATATAAATATAAACTATATATATTATAAATAATAAAGTTTAAAATAATATTTTTTTAAAAAAAAATTATCCCACATTAAAAAGATATTATATTAAGCTTTTAAGTTGAAATATTTAAAGAAAAAAAGTTTTTATCCCCCATTAAAAAAACATAACTTTTTTTTATTAAAACATAGAATATATATACTAATGGATTTCAAACCCTATATTAAAAAAACATGAGTTTTTCTTGTGAATATAAAGTATATATATTAATGTTATCATTTTAAGTTGAAATATTTAAACTAAAATATTTTTTATTTTATACGGAAAAATATAATTTTTTTTCTAGAAATATAAAAAATATATATTAATATATCTCAAATTTTACATTTTTAAAAAAAATATCGTGATCGAGTCTCACCTAAATTCTGAGGGGAGAGATAAAAAACCACTATTGTGGTCAATGTTTTTGCCCTGCCTGTGTGATCTGAGACCAAAACAGGGTACACAATTTATGGTGTGACTTATTATTCTTGAGCATTTATAAAATGGGGCCAAAAGTTTGAATTAATGTGTGTAGATGTGGACCACGTGTTGATCCACTTGACCATGTAAGTTGGAAATAAAGGTTAATTATTTTTAAATTTTTGTTTTTAATATTAATATATTAAAATGATTTAAAAATAAAAAAAATGTGATGAAAAAAACAAATTAAACTACGTGTCCAAATTAGCACTTCATTTTTTACCTACAATAATACACTTCTTCTTGCTTCCACAAAGTCTTGGTGATGTGATATAGGAAATCCTCGCACTTGTTTCCCCAAAAAAAAAAGAAAACAAGAAAGCAAGCAACTTTAACTTTCATTAATTTATGAAAACCAGAAACCAACCCCATCCCACCAAGAAACAATTTCTAGGCATATTATGCACTTCAAAGTTACAATTACAATTGGAAATAATCCTCGGGAAACATGCAGCGATTATGTTTGGTAAAATTTGTTGATTGAAGCGATTGCTCTATGAATATATTTTGAAATGGCGTTGTACCTAAGAAACAAGAAGAAGAAAAAAAAAAAAGCACTTACGCGGCCCAATCCACTTACTGATTTGTTTGGGTGAAAGGTGTGCTATAAAACAAATTAACAAGATGACTTGTTTGAGTCTCCGACACCCTCATCCTTCAAGTGTAGATAG